AGGCAGCCGACTGACCACTGTCAGTCGAGACGTCCGCTGCCGCCACAAAGCGGGCGGCCGCGGACGGAGAAAGGGCAGCCGCCGACAAGGAGCCGGCGTTGCCCGGGGGTCCGCCAGGGGCAAGAGTTGTCCAACCTCGGAGCCAGACGGCCCCTCAGCCAGCCGGTAGCGAAGGTTGGTTTCGATCCAACGACCTCGAGGTTATGAGCCTCGCACGCTGGGTGCCAGCAGTGCTGGTTCTTTTCGGGCTTGTGTTTTGTGTGTGATTGTGCAGCTTCTCGCTGTGCGCTGTGTGCCTGGAGGTTCAGCTTGTTCCTGCTTTGTTTTGCTTGAGGCACTTTTTACCTTCTGCCAGTAAATCCATTAGATCCTTCTGCCAGTAAATCCATTCACTGTGAAAAGATGGATTTACTGGCAGAAGGTAAAAAGTGCCTCAAGCAAAACAAACAGTGAGGGCGTCGCTCCACTCTGTGTAGTAGAGTTTTACGCATAAGGTAAAAAGTTTACCTTCTGCCAGTAAATCCATCTTCAAGTCCTCCTCGCTAGCCTCCGAGTCAGCGGTAGCCGAGACCAACACCGCCCGTGACGGCGGCGACGCCGCGGCAATGCCCAAGGACCGGCGTGACCCGACCGATGCCGGGGAGGAAGCAGGCGAGCTCGGACCAGCAGCAAGCACCCCAGTTGTGTCGAGCTCTCCGGAGGCACCCGACGTCACAGTGAGGGCCGAAGGGACGGAGACGCCTCGCCAGCTCCGCGCCGGTCGTCGGCTCCACTCTGGATGTTTCCCCCATCGGAGTTGGAGACCTCCGGCGAAGTTTCCTCCTCGGGCGAATCGACAAAGTCCGAGGAGGAGCTGTCCTCTGGCTCGAGAAGTGCTTGCGCCTGCAAGGGCGTCATGCGCCTCGCACCAGACAAGAGCGCCTCCAGCGTCAGCTGCATAGTGAGGCGCTGATAGGTGGCGTACCGTTTGCGAGCCAAGACCTCAGCAGCAGGGCCGTCATCAGGCACGAAGTGCCGACCAAACGCCGCATCCTCAAGAGGCATCGAGCGCTGAGCAATGATGTCCTCCGATACCAGATGAAGCGGAGGGTGTCAGGAGGCACAATGGATTTACTGGCAGAAGGTACAAAGTGCCTCAAGCAAAATTTCATCTAGGATTTACTGGCAGAAGGTAAAAAGTGCCTCAAGCAAAACAAAGCAGGAACAAGCTGAACCTCCTGGCACACAGTCCACAGCGAGAAGCTGCACAATCACACACAAAACACAAGCCCGAAAAGAACCAGCACTGCTGGCACCCAGACGCGGCAGCGCCAGCCCAAGCGCGAAGCCGCGCAGACAAGCAGCCGAAGGGTCAGGCAATCAAGCAACAAGCTGCAGGAGCATGCAGGAGGAAGAAAATCCCTTAGACGCGATACCCGGAGGCAGCCGACTGACCACTGTCAGTCGAGACGTCCGCTGCCGCCACAAAGCGGGCGGCCGCGGACGGAGAAAGGGCAGCCGCCGACAAGGAGCCGGCGTTGCCCGGGGGTCCGCCTGGTACAGCGGACGGAGGGAGGCTGGACACAGGAACACGATACCGCTCGAGGTAGTCCTCCTCGCTAGCCTCAAATGTGTGGTTCTGTACGGTACGTTGCGAATCTTCTCAGACGCTGTAACATGGAGGGCGTCGAGGTTGACCTCCCCCCACTTGGTCAGGTCGGCAGAGCTACCAATGTAAGGGTGGACCAACGTCACGTCCGCCATCAAGCCCTCGTACTGCTCAGACCCTCGATCGCGGATTCCAGGGATGTGGATATCGCCCTTCATCTTGCGGCCATGGGAGGGCACCTGCCGAGCGAGTATGTCCTGCGGCTGTGCAAGGTGAGGATATCACGCTGCTGATCGGTCAGCGCAGCGCGAGCATGCACATGGCGAGGGAAGACGCGCATGACAAGAGGAGTCACATCGCGCTGCGCAGGGGGAGGAATGAAGTGCTCATGAGACGAGTCGACGAGAGCGCGCAAACCAGGGATGTGTACCACAGATGCCGGGGGGCGTCCTGCGTCATCAGGCATAGCAGCCGGGGCAGGTGGGATCGCCGCGCCATCTGCAGCCGGTGCAGGAGCCTTCACACGACGGTAGAGGATCGCTCCAGCATTATGAACGAAGTCGTGCGCCTCAACGAAGAAGGTCGCCAGAGGATGCTTCTGGGCACGGAGAGATCTCGAGCAGTGAATGTCCAGGCTATGAGGAGAGAGCAGCGTCCGTGACATTGGCTGGTCAGAGTACCACGCGAGGAATCGAGCGATAGCCGTATAGTAAAACTCTAGCAGGTCGGGGTGCGAGGTACTGCGAGTTTGGCCTGGCCAGCGGTGGTATTTCTCAAGCGCCAGGTGGACAGAGAGGTCAAAGCGACGAATCTGTGATTGGACCCGCGGGAGAAACGGAGATGACCCCTGGAGATGGGAGTCGCCCTCACCAGACGGTCTTGAACATGAAGCCATGCTGGACGAGCCCGAGCTTCGAGAGCTCTTCGTTGAGGCTGGAGACCTTCGCTCGGAGCTGACTAGCATGAATTCCATCCGTGCCGATGGGAAGGCCCCCAAGTGTACTACACTGACAGGCTGGGCTGTAATCCCCGCCAGTGACGACCTCGAAGTGAAGAAGCTGAGTCTTGAGACGGCGCTTCTGAGCGGCTCTTCAAGGCTTCAGCTGCGAGAGATTTTGGGTGTTGGTGACAGGAGGGAATGTAAACTTTCGACTCGCGAGGTTGAACTTCGGCGCAAGCTGCAAATCGGCCAACATGTACCGTACTGCTTCATAGCCGCGGACTGTAGCTGCAACAGCATCCTGAGTCGAGTCACTGAGTGCCGGGCCCAACACTGACGAGCATCGGACGTTGTCAGCGTAGGCCAAGACTCGAACAGCGCCTGAGGGAAAAGCTCCGGGAGTCCGCGATATGGATGAGCACTGAGGGGTCACGGTGGATCAGTGACTCACGCGGCGGCCCCGCGGCGGGCAGAACCGTTCACGTTCAGTTCGGAAAAATACACAATGTGGACCGGGACCGTACCGTGGCATCGCCGCGGTTGGCACGCTTCTCTCTCCCTCTGAGACTCTCAGACTCTCAGTATCTCCGGGGGCCCCGAGTCTCTCAGCGAGGCTTCCGAGTACGGTCTCTCTCAGTTACTAACGGTTAAAGTCACGCCGTATCTAATAGTTCGGAAACCGACTCAGTCGGCCGCGCAGTGCGCCGACTCGAGTGCCGGCCGCCGGGACTGAGTCCGAGTCCTCACTCTGACTCGGAGATCGGATCATCGGACGCCGAGTCCGCCGGGCCGAGAGCCTTGAAAGCCGAGCCCGCACCAGTTTGGTCCCGGCTTTGAGACCGCAATGACCTTTCAACTTTCCAGTAGTCACCACCCCTCGATCATGGGGGTAGGGGTACTTTAAGTACCTGGTAGTGATACTGCCTTTCAATGAAGAAAGGTAGGGTACCTGAAGAACCTGTGGGGTACCACTATGTTGCATTCATCCCATAGGAGGGTGGCGAAATAAGGAGTAACGGGGTAGGGGTTAGCAAGCTTCACAAAGGGTGGGTACAAGACAGAAATTAAGGGGGTCGGGGTACTGATGTACTGGGGTAGCCCATGGAAAGATGGATGCTGAAGGGTCGCCATGGAGATTCTGATATGACGAGAAAGAGGAAGGGAGGGGAGGGGAAGGGAGGGGAAGGGAGGGGAAGGGAGGGGAGGGGAGTGGAGGGGAGTAGGTATGGGACTGTAGGTAATGCATGCAGGGGTTGATAGGGGGAGGTTGAAAAGCAGTACGGTACAAGAACCAGGAAACTCGTTCGAACAGCATGGTGATGAGTGAGTCATGTATGGAAAGCTCTTGAAGATTAAGAGGAAAGATCTACCAGAAAACCTGACTTGCATGTTCTGACCTGCGCTTCACAGATTTGATTGTCTCCTGAGGTTGTCAAATTGCACCAGAAGCCATAGTTACCAAGGCTTCTGCTTGTTGATTAGAATGCAGCAGCAGGATTGGCCGAAAGCAAGCCGATTTGCACTTGCTTCTAACACGGAAACTTCGGCTGGTACATGTTCGCAGCGAACGTCTCGAGGGACTTGGGCTGCAGCTGTGCTTGCCTTCACTCTTGGCCTTGTGGCGGTCGGCTGTGCGCTGCTGCTTTCGTCCTCTTGGTCGAACCCTGTTTCAACCATTAGCAATGGGGCGGGAGGCACGCAAGGCATGAACCCGAGGTTCCTCCGATCCGGCAAAGCGACTGGAAACAAGCACGAGGGAAGAGTGCGAGTGAAGTCGATCATTCACGATGCTGTTCAGGCAGCCGTGAAAGGAGCGGAGAAAGAGGTGAAGACTGAGATCAAGAGCGACGTGAAAGACGCTGTGAAGGAGGCCATTGAGGAGGCTGTGGCTGGAAGTCAAGTCCTCTCTCAGAGCAAGGACGAGAACGCTTTCGTTCACGCCTTAGTCAAGGATTCAGCTCGAGAAGCTGCGCGGGCTGGAGCCGAAGAAGTTCGCCAGTACGGCAAGGAGATTGGTCATATCACGAAGGAGCTGGACAGCCAGCTCGGGGGGCTGTTGGAGGATCAGGGCTTGAAGAAGGGATCCAAGGAAAAGTCGATGAGGGGGTCGAGCTGGTTCGACCTTGCTACCAACGTGCTCAAGTCTCAGAAGCAGAGTGACCCCAACGTCTCTCAGCGAATGTCTCGTGCTGAAGCCGAGAGAAAGCAGCAAGCGCACAAGATGTTCGTGAAGGAGGAGAAATCCATCCAAGATGAAAGCAAGAGCATGAATGTGAATCGGGGTAGCATCCCTATTGGCAGCAGGAAGAACCCCCTCTATGTGCAGGCTGAGCATGACCGTGATGCTGAAGCTGAGAAAGACCTCAAGTATCTGGAGCATCAGCAGAAGGCAAAGGAAGCTTTGAAGCATGTTAAGGCTCGGCTAAATCATGAGAGCCGCACTGAAATGGCTGAGAAGTACCTCAAGATCATGGACAAGAAGGTGTTGCCTACCCCTCATCGCCGCGTTAGTGTGGACCGGAACGCCCTTGCACAGAAGTACCTGAAGCAGCTGGAAGATCAGCAGGGGTCGGGAGACCACGTCCGTTCTGCCATCCAAAACAAGAAACCCTTGTCTCGAGAGCAGCAGGCCAAGCTGGACATGGAGTTTCTCAAACGGGGAGATGCGCTCGTGGAGCACGGCGACGTCTTGAAGCCAGTGAAGCTGAGCCCCACCATAGTGCATGGAGACAACAAGCTTGAGAAGGCGGCCAAGCTGATGAAAGAGGAGAAAGAGGAGCAAAAGCTATCGAACCACGATAGGAATGAACTGGCGCAGTCATTTCTCAAGCAACTGAAGGGCGGCAAGTATGTTGGGAAGCCTTTCCACGCCCTTAAGGTACCCTCCCTCGTCGCTTCTTCCAAGAGCCCCGACATGGATGCCAAGGCTCAGAAGTACCTCAAGCAGCTGCAAGCCGCGAATCCGCACGTGCAGGCAACGAAGAAGGCCACGGACAGAAACGCGATCGCAGAGCACGATCTACATCAGTTGGAGACTTCATCTCACCAGTGAAGTGAGGGAGGGGAAGGCACACAAGTTAACGTCTGGTGCAGAGCCAGCTGTTTTAATGAAAGACAGGACGAGACTGTCTAGTCTTCTCAGTCTTCGCACGTGCAACGCGGCGACATGGTCGTTCACGTGCAGCTTCTCTGAACGGGCAGCACTGCCATGCTCGTTGCTCTCAAATGAAGGAGTTGAAGCTCGACTTCTTGCCGCCCGTGCTTCTAAAGGTGTTCTCTCCCTCGTCCGATTCGTAGTGCTTCATCGCTCTGCTCTGTCCTGCCATCCTGCGCGAGCGTCAGCGATTCGCCTGCTGTGAGGGCAGCTCACGAGGGTAGAGGTTTGCTCTCCAGCTGACGCGCCTGGGAAGCTATCAGAGCACAAGGAGAGGGAAGAGGACAAGAAAGCACACCATTCTGTGATCGAGACATTCCTGCAACATGATCAGCAACGACACCAACACAACAGCTACTACTGACCTGCAAGTTGCTGCACATGAGCATGGTGAGCTTTCGTTGTCTGTTAGAAACGAACTCAAGAAATCATGTCACACCTGCTGATCCTTGCCGAAGATGGCGAACATCTGAGCAAGAAACGAGTCACCTCACTGAGCAGTCTATTCGCTCACTAAGAACTAGCCCAGGTGCTCTCACGAGCTCATCGGGTAAAGCAGAGGTCTCTAGGCATGCACTCGAGGCTGACATGGACTCGCTTGAGGTCAAAGCCAGGTAGACCTCAATGAGCAAGGCAAGCCGAAGGACGAGGAACAGCTGCAGGCAAAGAAGACTCCTTCTTCACTGAGAGAGGAGGAGACGGAGAGGGAACCATGAGAGGAGTGAGAGAGGAATGAAGCAATACGAGCCAGAAGAGTTGTTGGTGAATGAGAGGCGTGAGGACGAGACGAGGATGCGGTGTGTTACAGGAAGTGCTGCATACAGAAAGGCACAAGTGGTTGAGGTGGTGGTGATGGTGGAGGTAGTGAAAAAGATGGAGGATGATTGAGATGGCGGTGAGATGTCGACGACGACGATAATGATGATGAAGAAGAGATGATGATGATGACGGAAATGGTGGTGAGGGGAAAGGAAAGGAAGAGGAGGTGGTGCATGTAGATTTGATGATGATGCAGCTGAGAGGAAGAGATCGGGTGACGGAGCAGCAGCAACATGGTCAGGATGTATGCGTGGAGGAGCAGGAAAAGCAGGGAGCAGGGCCGCAAATAGAAAGAAATGGTTTACTCATTATTTATTTTAGTAGAAAACTGAGTCGCCTCAGAACTAATAATTATTCAAGATGCGAAGACAGCAATGGATGAAGAGGTCGATGACGAGAACCTTGAAAAGGACAGCAATGAGACACTTCGAATGATGGCTGACCTGATCGAAGCCATCTTCGAAAATTCTTTGGGGGTGTACTAGGGGCAGGGGGTAGAAGTGGGTAAAATGGGGGGTACAGCAAGGACATGAAGGGGGTTGTGATTTATTGGGTAGGGTAGTGCGATTAGGGGGAGTAGGGGGATGAGGGGGTCGCGTGGCCGTTGTAGTAAAACGAGGGGAATGGAGGGAATGAAGGGAGAGACGGGAGGAGGAAGCGAGAGGCGGAGCAGAGACAAGGGGAAGCGAAGAGAAGGAGGAAGATAGAGATAGAGATAGAGATAGAGATAGAGAGAGAACTCGTGCCAAGCGATAGTTTCTTAAGCAATGGGGTTGATATGAGCTGCGGAGGTAAAAGGACTGGTCGAAGGAGTGGGGGAATAGAATGAGGAAGTGATGACGAGAAGACGATGACGAGAGAAGAGCATGAAAGTGCGCTAGAGCCGGTCATATCCTTCGATTGTCATCTCCGATCAGAAAAGTGAGATTACTCGCCTTGATGGTCTTGTGACAGTTTGTGTTGATTTGAAATGTTTGAAAAATCAAATTCGATAAAGTTCAAGCTTAGCGAGTGGAAAGAAGATAAAAAAGAGGAAATGCGCCCAACAGACATTCGAGGATAGATATGATGCTCCAGGGTGCTAGAAATCGATTCGGATGCTGCCTTGTGTACTTTATCGGACATCAGTGACCTTTCTGTTGATAGATGTCGAGGAAGTTCTTCAAGACACGATTCAGTCCCATCAGACCAGATGTCGGCTTCTACGAGACCTTCAAGTGATCCTCTCCCTTCTCTCCCACTCGTCTCCTTGTCTCCCTCTACTCTTCTCCCTCCTCGCTTACTCCTCCGCCCCCTTCAGGTTGCTCTCGTCGGCCTCGGCCGAGCTTCTCTGGTGGCTCGGGGCTCCGGGGAAGTGGGCGGCCAACTTTGGGTTTCTGCTTCTGTTTGTCATCGGTGAGTCTCCTGCCCCTCCTCTTCCCTCCTCACCTGCTCGCAGTCATGCTCCCTGCGCTGCTCCCCGCCTTCATCCGCTACTTGTGGAGTGCGGGAGTGCGCAAGAACCTCATGTACGGCTCCTCCATCCGGCACCAGCTCGACGTCTACCTCCCCTCCGATCACAAGCGAGACCCCAGCAGAAGGCGACCTGTTGTCATCTTCATCTCGGGGGGGGCCTGGATCATCGGGTACAAGACATGGGCATTCCTGATGGGGTTGGTGTTTCAGGTAGAAGGAGAGGGAGGGGGAGGGGGAGAGGGAGAGAGGGCGAGTTCGATCGGGAGGAGGAGGAGGAAATTTGGAGCTAAGGGGGATGACGTTGATGGGCAGGATAACGGAGTTGTCTTCGTGGCTCCTGATTACAGGAACTTCCCCCCAGGCGGTGAGGACCTTGACGTGGAGGAGGCAGGGCGACAGGTCTGACCCCCAGCAGATCCCCGACATGGTGAA